GAGGGGAGCCAGGTCGCCTCCCAGCCCCGCCCACGTGCCGGGGACCTGGGAAGCGGGGACCCGTTTGAGGACGGGGAGGCAAGAACAACCGACGCATTCCCAGAGTCCCGGGCGGCTCCCGGCTTTCTCCTTACCTGCCCTCAGCTGCCGGGGCCGCTCACCATCTACCTCGCACCCTCACACGGACCTTCCGGGCAGCCAACCTGCAAAACAGAGCAGCACAGGAATTACCCGCCGGGTTGGGCGGTTGGTCTAGGACCCCCGGGTTTCTTTCTTTCCCCAACTTCCCTCCTCCCTTTCTCTTTCTTTCCAGTGGCTTTGTGCGTGTCCCTCCAGGTTTCACTTTATTTCATACACACACTTTGTTTGCAAAGCCCTACACGCTCCCGAGACACTGCCTCGCCCAGGACCGCGCCGAGGGGCCGCAAGGAGGAGGGTGGGGGTGAGAGGGGCAGAGCTGGGAGGTGGCTCGAGGTTGCCGTGGCACTCCGTGCAGCGTGGAGGCGGTGGGGGCTGGGGAAGCCCCGCAGAGGCACTTCGGAAACTAAATAAATCAAGCGATTTACCTTGTCGGAGTGGCTTGTCTGGCCGGGTTGTTTAGGTGATTGGAAATGTAGCCTGATGAAGATTGATCACCTTTCTAATGCCCTCCCCGGGTATGTGAACGCGAGGTGAGTGCGTAACCGGGCTAGGCTGCCAATCCCTGGCCCCGCGCGGGCTGAGTGACAGGGAGCCGGGCAATGGCAGCACGAGCCGGGGGTTACCTCCGCGCGCCCCCGCCCTCCCCCGCCCCCTGCACCCCGCCCTCACCGCCCGCCCGCCCGCCCCGCCCCGGTCGCGCGCTAACTCCGGGGCTCGACTGGCGGCAAACGCGGCGCAGAGCGACGCGAGGCAGACGAGCGCAGCGCGGGAGCCCAGGCCGTGGAGGGGGACGCCGGTCCCGAGGCCGCCTCGGGGCTCCCCGCCCTTCTCTCGCCCTTTTGGCGCCCTGGAGGGAGTGGCAGAAGGAGGCGAGGTGCTGGAGAACCGGTTCTCGCTCTCCCGCGCGCCACCCAGCTCGGCGGCCCGGTGGGCGCGAGGACCCGGGAGCCGCGGGCTGGCGGGGAGCGGGCCCCCGGCCCCTCTCCCGGCGCCGCGGGCCCCAGTGTCTTCATCCACCGCGCCACCATCCGCAGAGGGACGCCGCGGGCGGCTCGTGCTGGCACAGGCTACTTTGCCGAGCGCGGGAGCAGCTCCCAGTGCGCAGATCCCGCCTCGGCGCCTCAGGACTCCCGCGCCTGCGAGCAGCACCCGCAGGGGAGGCACGGCCACTTACCTGCTCTTCGGCGTCTCCTGGTGTTCCCAGTCCCCACGAAAGGTGTTTGCAAATCCTAAACGCTTCTTTTGAAATGTTGGAGCGCAGAGTCCCCTCTCCCTTACACACACACTCTACTTCTGAATCGAAAGGTTTGGATAGGAAACTTTCTCTTTCACACTGTCTCCTTCCCGTTCTCCTTTTACAAGGGACAATTTGGTGGAAAACGTGGCCACAGACCCCTGCCCTCAATTTCTTTCCCACATGCCGCAGGAGCCTCCTTGAAGCGATCTCCCCGGATCGTTCGTACTGGCGAAGCCCATTTCCCAATCGAACAAACTTCTCAAACACGTCTACCTGGATGGACTTGTCAAAGCGCAAAAAGAAAAGTGTTTTCGCCCCAACACTGAGTAAGGCAATTCTTTTAAATGGCACCTCCTCCAGAATATTAGGCACTTTACTCCCTTTCGAGGAATTCCTACCGCTTCTTCCTAATCCCCCCTCCCCTCCACCTCAACAGGCGGAGTGAAAAGTTTGAACAGGAGTAAGTGTGAGGGCGAGTCAAGGAGCCACCGGGCGCTTCGCGGTGGGGAGCGCGGGCGCTGCGGGGCCGCAAGGTCGGGCACCGAGAGCGGACCAGGCGCGGGGCGAGGAGGTGGAGGAGAAGGAAGGGGGAGCCCGCTGAGTGAAAAGGGGCCGCGGCCGCCGCTCTTCAAAGTGCTTCCCCCTCCCCCAAGCGACACTTTCCTTTGGAGTCCGAATAAAATACGGTAACAGAATATGATGGAGGGCACACTGTTTCCTTAACTGCTTCTCAAAGAACCCGGGAGATCTTCTTAGGACCTTTAATAAGGCTTTGGTCGGTCCTTTTGTTGATCTCTCAAAATCAACTCCTTCTAATTGAAGTTGGAGCTGAAAGCGAGCTAATGTTCAAAGAAAGTGGCCGCCAGGCTAACGAAATTACATTTTTTTTTTGACGATGAGGGAACATCTAATCAAAGGGGCAAAAGAGGAGGGGTGGGAGTGGGGAAGTATGAAGGAGAAAAGGTTTTACAAGATCCTTCTCTGGTTCACAAAAGTCGGCGACACGGGCGCTTCTCTCCAGAACAAAGACACCGCGGCCCATTCACAAAAGGGAGAGAAAGAGAGAGAGAAAACAATAAAAGAACGGGAGAAAAGTAAAAACATGAACAAGAAAAAGACTTAACAGGAAAAGAAACTGCGCAGAGCGCAGCGCTGACCCGAGCGGGGACACACCTTTGGCTCGCGCAGGCCCCCGCAGGGAATAGTCCGCGAGGCCCAGGACTCCGAGTCCCCGAAATGTGCAGAGATTTAAGGAAAAAAACGAAATACACCCCCGCTTTCGGTTCTGGGGAAAGGCGCGGGCTGGAGCGCACTAGTGTGAGGGGGAAGAGTATGCCGGCGCCCTGGGGTGAGCTTCGGCGGCACTGCGTCCGTAGCCCGGCGCTACCCCGGCCGGGGCCTGTGCGCTGTGTGCCTGGGTTAGCCCTCCCAGGCCTGGGTGCGTGCCCTGTCCCAGTCCCGCAAACTCTCGCACTCCCGCCTCCTCCCGGCCCCGTTTGGCCTGCAGCTGCGGCGCTGGGCCGAGGTCCGGCGCGGCGAGGTGGGGCGGCAGTGCGCGCTGGAATGTGCTCAGGCGGTCCCCAGGGCCCGCCAAGCGGGAGCCGGGCGCTCTCGGTTCCAGATGCTGCCGCGGTCTCGGGGAAGTTGGGAGGTATCAAGTAGCACGATTTTTTCCCCCCTAATGAGAGTATTTATCTAATCCCAAATTGCAGGCGAATTTTTTTAATGCTCAACCCATAAAACCCCGGGATTAAGAGAAGAAAAAGAGAGAAGAGGGGAGAGGGAGGAGAGTGGAGACGGGGGAGACTGAGATGAAAGTTTCTTGTATGTGGCGTAAAGGACTGAGGCGGCCGTCGCTAGGCAAATATCCAGGTGGGAGACGCTGGGCCAGAAGCCTCGACCGTTCCAGCAACGGCCGCAGCTCGGGGAGGGGAAGAGGGGGCCTCGCCCGGGGAGGGCCTGTGGACTCAGCTCGAGGGCCCCGGGCCGGGGAGGGGGCGTGGGAGCTGGGCCCTGGCTTTAGCATCCAGGTGACCTCGAGCCGGGCCAGACTCTGGAGGACACTTGGGACAGGGGGAGGGGTTTGGCTCCGGGGCCCTGGGATCCTGGCCAGGGGCGGAAGTTCTGCACTGGCCCGCGGGCTGTGCCCAAGCCAGCGCGCTGCCAACACTCCTCCTCCTCCTCCTCCTCCTCCTCCTCGGCGACCCCCGGGCCCACAGCTTCTTTTGCCGCCGCGCGGGCTTTCGGATTGCCGGCCTCGCGCCTGCGCCCGGGAGGCAGCCTCTGGGCACCACGCGACGAAATCGGGATGCGGCGCCCTCGCCGCGGGCCTGACCCCGATGGTCCCCGGGGGCCGCGCTCCGCCGCCGCTGCGGGGCGTGCGGGCGCCACAGAGCAGCCCAATGGAAACCCCGCGAGGCTCGGGACTGAGGCAGGAGGGGCAGGGAGACGGGCAACAAATCTGGGGCTAGCGAAGGATTGTCACTTGGCAGGTCGCGAGCGGCTTGGGGGAGCCGCCTCTCTGCGAGGCTCCGCGAGAGGGAAGGTTCCCAGAATCCGAATCCTGCGTAAATGGAGTGGGTGACGCCGGTCACCCAAGCCCCAGGCTGCTCCGGGCTGATGGTTTTCGTCTGCCGGTTTCCCTGGGGTTAGGGCCGGGTTCTGAGAGCTTCCCCCCAGGAAGCGGTAGCTCCCTCTGCTCTCCTGCTCTAATAAAGACGGCAAATACCCGATTTCATTTAGTTCTGATAACTTTTCAATAACTTCTTAAAATCCTTGTCGTGAAGAAATTCTACCGTAGGAAGGTTTTATCATTTTGAAAGACTGGCGGCTGCATAGTTTTCGAAAGGAATTTGTGTGTGTATTGGTATAAATATTTGTCTGTATATGTACATATATGTATACGTGTATATATGTATGTATGATCTAGGCTAACGTATAAATGCTAGTGGACTGTTTTCTCTGTCTCCAGACTTGTTGAACGAGCTTTCTTTGTTTCAAGACACCTCTGTAGAGGAGTGATGGAAACTACCATAAAATCGCCAGTTTTTTCTGTAGCTTAGAACTTCTGGTTGAAAGTTCCCTTTCCCTCATCTCATACACACACACCTGCACACACTTACCCTCCTCCTCCCCTCCAACAATAACCCTCTTCCTTTCACTTCGGCATCTACAGTCTTGCCGGTTATCAGAAGTCATAGTTCTTCCTCATATGAGTGCAAAATTATAACAATGGAAAATTACATTTTTTTCAGTGCTGTGGAATCACAAATCTCAAATCGTTAAGAGAGGACCCTCTAAAAGATGATAGTTTACACTGCTTAAGAAAATATGACTAATTGCTTTTCAATTCGCATTTGTGTGTCAGCAGGGCCCCTCTGGGGTGGTGTAAACTTATTCAGCTCCAAATACAGACCAGTATCCTGCCCTGCATTCAAGAGGACCATTTTTCCACATGAAAAGTCTTATGAATACAAAAACTTCTCAAGTTTTCATTGCAAAGAAGTAGCAGCAGTGTTTAAGGTAAGAAAGTTTCTGCTTTTATTGAAAATTTATATATGACTCAGTATTGTAATAAATAAACAGATAACCATTTTCACAAAAAAATGACAGTGCTATGCTAGAGAAGAAAATATTAATTGGAGGATTTACTCATAATGGCAAGACAGACTTTTATCAATACAGAATAAATATTAACACCATTCTTGAGCCAATTTTGAGACCCAACAAAATGTAGGAACCAAGCTAGATGTAATAAATAATTATCCAGAGAAAAAGATGGCGCATTCTCAAATGATAAGACTGTCTTTGTAAAGTGATGCATGTCAATTAGTCCCATCCTTACAGCTCACTTCAAATCACAGGACTTGTTTCAGGCTACGTTAAAGGGCCATCCTCCGAAGAAAGCAGAGGAGAAGTACCCTATTATCTTCATAGTGAAACGCAAAACAACTGCAGAAAATCCCACTGGTAAATAGAACACAATTTAATAAGTAAATTGAAGATGATCTAACTATAAAATTTAGGTAACAGACTCAGTGTTACATATGGCAGGACTGGAAAAAAATCATTCATGACATTTTCCTTATCCCTCCCTCTTAAGCCCCCTCCCACCCCTCATTATGCTATTAACAATAACAACAACAACAAAAATGTTTTAAAATTTTTCTCCATCAAAAAATGAGGGAAAATAATGAGGGAAGAGTTTTCTTTTCTTTCTTCTTTGAACAGTTTCTTGAACACTCCTAATACCAATCACTCACAAGATGTCTGTGCAATCTATTTTACATGATTTCAAGGAAATGATTAACTCACACACACACAATCCTTAAACAAAGCTATTTCGGAGTTCTGTACACTGTCTGGAAAAAAGGGAGGAAAAGAGGTGGTGGTAGTGGTAAAGAAGTACAATCCAGCCAAACAAAATGTTAAAAGTTTTAAATCAACAACGAGAATGACTTTTTCTGGTCTGGGGACCCAAGGCTAATAAAATGTTGGTCAAGATTCTGGTCTGACTTCTATTGCAGAACACATTTCTCTTCTTTCTTGGCCATCTTGCCTTTGTTTTGCTCCAGAGTTCGCTCCAAATGCTCGTCTTCTTCTTCGGCCCTGGAAGTCAAACAGGAAACCAAATTATTTTTCTTCTTGGAGCGCAGAGCGGCACTCTCCTCTCGCCCCGCATTCCGAGCCCCAGAGGGAACGGGGTTCGCGGGGCCAGCGGGAGGCTGCCCCGGCCCACCCGGGACCTCTGGACTGAACTTTCCGAAAACTTCTCGGCCCCTCAGCAGGCGGCAGAGCCTCGACCCCGACCCCACCGCCCACTTACTGCTTCTCCTGCGCGTCCAGGTCCCTGACGAGCGCGTCGCGCTTGTCCACTAGGGCCACCAGCTCATCCAGCAGGAGCTGCTCGCGTCGCTTCTGGGCCTCGGTCTTCTGCCAGTCTGCAGGGGACGGGAGGCTCCTTACCCACCCGGTCTCCCACCCCACCCGGCCCTCCCCTTCCCGCCTTTTCCAGTTCCCTTTTATTTCTCTGCAAACCATATTACAGAGCCACTAGCTAGTGTTTCACGGAGAGTTTGGCCGTCGTGATGAGGATTTCGCCCCTAAAACCCTACTTTCTAAGTATTTTCCGTAGATGGAGACGGCTACGGGCTGGGCTGGAACCTGCAAGAGACCAGGTGTGCGCCGGTGGCCAGCGGAGGTGCGCACCTGATGTCAGCCAAAGTGGGGGAGGGAGAGCTGGAGGCCCAAAAGAGGTCGGCCCGAGCGGTGAGGGGGGAATGTGGGTGAATGAGGAGGCGGGAAGCAGAGATGGGCGATAAAATCACCCTGAAAAGGCTAGAGAATCTGCCTGAGAACCTATCCTCCTCCCCCACCCCCATGCTCACCCCATACAGCCCATTCTTCGCTAATTTCCTCTTCGCTCTATTTTAGCAGTTGGATGTATCTCACACTGGGCGCCATATGCTTCACAATAACTTTAAAAGTAGTGAATCGGCTAATTAGCATTTTTCTTTGAAGTAAAAAATAAATTTGCTCTGCAACATTACACTGCAGCTCTCGATCGCATCACAGCCAGTTTTCTTTTGGAGAGGTTTGCTGCGTGGTTTCAAATCAAAGCACTTTTGCAAAGGAAAAATTACATACTTCTTTTTGAAACCCCGGTTGGAAAATCCGATGGGCAGTGCTCCTTCCATGGGAAGGGGCAGTTTTTTGACGGTTTTAGGCCCCAATAATATATTTCCTAATCATTGCTGGTCTGATAATTTCCTTAAGATGAGCAGCAGTTTCGTTTAATAAAAACAGGACCAAATCGAACATTTAAAGCACTTTTGAAACCAAAGCCAACTGCTCTCTGGCCAGACTGTAAGGGCTTGTAGCTGTCAATCAACCCCCAGTCTACCCCGCCTCCCTCATTAGGAAGGTAAACAATGAAAAGAAGAAGTAGATGATGAGGCAGATAGCCGAACAAATGAGGACCTAGAGGGAAACAGGACACCAGCTTAAAAAAAAAAAATACCCTGGCCACTGACTCATGTAGCCCCCTCCCCCAGCAAATGCACTTTCCAAAAAACAGAGAGGAGTGCAATCCTTTCTGGTTTCTCTCTTCTCTCTCCATTGCCCTGGGCAATCATGTTAAAACTCACATGGCTGGTGCTTATTCAGATAAACCCAACAATGCACACCGCTGGTTACCATGTGAATCTTCACAAACCACACAAGAATGTGCTGGTTCAAATCCCCCCGACCCCCTCCAAAGCAAAATTTATTCAAGACAGCAAACTGCTCAGCAGCTTTATGAAACCAAATGGAGCTAGAGGGAATTCTATCTTGTATTTACAAATTAAAAATTAGATGCATCATCATGCAATAAAGGTTAGAATAGCAGCAAAAAGCTAGAATAATTTATTCTATTTTATCACTATTCCTTTCATTACAAGCTCGAATACATACACACATATATATTAAACATGCCATATATTAATTACCCACATTCGATACAAAACATCACAAATAAGTACATTAAATAATTGGTCACATTACATTCTTATTTAAAAAGAAGTGAAGTATTCTATTGCATAGAGAGGAATAAAGAAACTATTGCTATGGAAAGTTTTTTTCTTAATGTAAGAATTTAAAAAATAATAATGAAACAGCAAAACTGGAGAAAAGCCATATCTATCACAATTTTATTCCTTGGATTTAAATGCAACTGAGGTCAGGAATGCTGGACAATTTTCTAATCTGGTTCTTGTTCTTAATCAGTTTCATTCTACACAGCAGATAAATTAATAGACTCTCCAGGTTGGAAAGATCTTAAAGGTCATCTAGTCTAATTTCAGGTAACTGTAGTTCTAGAAATATTAACTCAGAGAAAAACCTGCTAAATTTGTAAAAGATTTGTAACTAAATTTTATAATTATTAAGATTACCAATTTTGATGAATATGGATTTTTCCATTTCCAACCTCAAGAAATCATTCTGATTATAAGCTTAATTTATAATTCTTTACTTCCAAAACATTTTGATAAGAGCTTTACTACTGGGAAATAAAATTTCTCCACTGTAAACTTAAAAAATATAATTAAGTTGAAAATTACAAAATTTTTTTAAAGAAAAAATAAATTTTAATGACACATAATCTTCTTGAGTAAATTATTCCTTCCCTATATTTGACCAGTCACTTTTAAGGTTTTAATTAATAATTAGAAATATCAATATTTCTTTAACTTTTTAAAAAATAAGGTTTTAACAATATGGATAAGAGAGGAAACAATTTTATATTTTTAATCCATTAAGTATTGAATAATTTAAAAAATCTTAACCTTTTCCTAGCTCAATGCTGACATTTCACATAACTGTAACAAAAACATTTTTAAATTATGAATATTTAGGTAATTTTCATCATCTTACAAATTTAACTGACATTAGAATTTTAACTGTTTCAGCATAAATTTATAGGTTTTTTATATTAAAGTGTCATCACTACATTAATATCTATCTACAAATAATTAGTCAAATTGTGGAGAAAATAGCTATGCGCAGTGAGTAGATTTTACACTAGCAAAACTACTTTTACTTTGGATTTGCTTTCTCACAGGAGTAAATTTATACACATTCACACACATATTTGAATGCTAATTTGGGAAATTAAGTAAACTATTTTGATGATTTAAAAAAATTTGATAACACCTTTAAAATTGATCAAGATTCACATTTGTATGTTCAAAGGTCTACATTTAAAAATTAAAAAATTCCTCTTTAAATAGCTTCACCTAGATGTAATGTCATGTTTTAAAAGCCTGAATGTAAGTTTATATGTTACTTGTTATACATTTTAAGAAAGGATTACTCACCTATAACAGCTAGCTAGATGCAATGACTTTGCCTTGGACAGACTACAATGTGGGTTTTGATTAATTTAAAGATTCCAGTGTACTTTTGCTACAAAAGCCATATCCTCTCACAACAAATAGGATTAAGTTTTGATGCTGCATTTGAGCCAAAGTGTTAAAATAAAGAGATTCTGTTTATGTCTATCTGCACTGAGCTGTTTTGTTAATCTAAAAAACTCTTTTTTTATATATAGGGCCAATTATTCATTCCCTGATTCAGTTTATTTGCTGAAGTTGATAATTACCTTGGAAAAAAGGCAAAAGAAATACCTATAAACACTTTAATAGAAAGGACCTAAAGTTCTTGTAGTAAACCTTCAACCTTGCCACTATAAATAAGCCTGGCACTTTGATGAAAATTAACACTAGTTTTGTAAAGAGCACATTGGGGGATTGCAGTCAAGTCTTATCTTTAGTTCCAGTCAACTAGCAATCCTGAAAGAGTTTGCATCATCATCAGAGCAGGCCATTTGATAGGATTCTACCGCTGTACCTAATCAATCTATGGAAGACTGTGGCTGTGCTGTGTAACAAAGCTAAAATAGATTTACAAATGGGGTTTTAGGGGATAAGCTCCTCCACAGGATTACATATTGATTTTAAATATAAAAAGCTTATCATATAAGCCATAACTACAAAAATAGTGAACCTATGCATAAATCCCTTTAGAAGAGCACCCACTTCAAACTCTAAGCCAAGAATAAATCAAGATGTACAAAATCCTAGAGAAGATCCATTTCTTGTGCAGAAAATGAACACACCACTTTCCAAAAGCCCACCCCAATGTGTGCAGAAATGAATTTATCTTTCCTGAGGGGGCATTAAATAATCTGGAACAGAAAAACTATAGGAAAAGTATCTGAAAGATGCTTGTTAGCTTAAGGGATCCTACAACTTAGCTCAGTAGAGTGAAACTCCTGCAATGAAAACACCTCAGGGAAAAAAAAAAGGCCAAAGTGATTATGGATTCTCAGAAGAATGGATATATTGAATGTTATTATTATTATTTTGCTCTCAAACCAAGCTGTTAATACTTCTTTCACTGGACTATGACTATTAATATTCTGTGCTTTTCTCCTAGTTAATGGTTTCAGTAGTAGATTATTCAAAAATATTTTAGTTTATTTATTATGAAAACCATCTTATGGCTACTAAGTAGAAGAGATGGGAAAGAAAAGAGGAAGGGACTTTAAAACAAAGGAAAGCAAAACAAAACCAATTAGTGTTGCCTGTTCATGTGTTTTTCTGTGGTGTTTTAACACTCTGAAAGACTACTGAATGTGTGTCCATTCTAAGGGCTGGCTCAGAGGATACTGTCTTCAAAGAACTGATGATCACGATGCTCAGTATCACTCTAGGACAGCTCAGGCCACATATTGCCCAGGCTAATGGGACAGGCCTCTCTCTGAGAAAGTGTCTTTATTTGTATTCAACAGGCTGCTTCTTTCCTCAAGTCTCTTTTGCCCCTCAACCAGCAACAGAAACTGGCTGAGAGATTTAAGGCACAATCACACATGGGACAATAGTATTAATTAAAAAATAAAACAGAACAAAACCACAAAAAATTAACAATTGTATTAAAGGTGTATGAAAAGAAAAACATTAATTTTTTTTCTCTTCTTCAAAAATATTACTTTCTACTGCTCTTCCATGTGTACAAGGGGAGCAGGCAGAAAAATGTTAGATTATTTAAGACTGTAGGTCTATTATATAGGGATAGGATGGCCAATGAAACTGGGATGTTTTATATGTATTATGGCCCTCCTTTAAAGATGGTACTATTTGGTAATAATACTGGTTTTGGGATAGAAGCAATATCTGCCTTAAAAGTCAACTGTATTGTATCAAGCTGTATCTTAGGGTTGATTTAACTTACTATACATGAGAAAGTAAATTTTTAAACATTGTAATACTCTGTATTGAGCATAATATATAATTAATCTATAAAGAATAAATTGTATAATGAGTTATACATACTATATACAAACACATTTTATATTATACACACACATATATATATATAATATACCATATAAATAGTATTTGCTATACCTACTTTTCAAATGACTATTTAGCTTTCCAATCTCTTTTAAGACTATACCATGACTACAAAAATTATAGCAAGAGGAAAAATACCATTTAGTATATTTGTGCATTTTATTCAGTGGCAAGTTTCACAGAACTTCTTAAATAATTTTGACAAATTTTATAGTCATTATTAGTGATATAATTTGATAGCCACTTGAAGGAAATTAGCTATCTGAAAGCCTTTTAAATAAAGTAAATCTAATTTATAAATTAGGACGTACAAATGTTGTTAGTCATATTTATCAAATATTAGGAATATAAAAGAATAAAACTTCTATAAATGTATAAGATACTATTTAGATAAACAGCATGTATTTTATTTACTAACAATTTTAATTAAAATATTTTAAAACATGGTTTCATTTGAATTTCTCTTACAAACTTAAATTCCCAGTTTCTGAACTAATTAGAATTGACTTCTTATGGATCAGGTACCTTATCAGGTGAAGGAAGAAATTACAATGGACAGTCAATGCATGTGTTAAGAGGTCAATACAGAATAGGAAAATCAATTTGCATTGATTAGACAAAAGGTCCATTTTACAGAGCCCAAAGGATTAGCTTTTAAGTGGACATCTTTGAACTATAAGACATTTTCAACTAAGAGGTATATGGAGAACAGCATTCTAAAATAGTAAGAATTTAAAAAAAATAAGCATATATAGTAAATGCCATAGTTAAGCTAGCTGATGTTTATTGATATTATGAACCATGCTTAGGATTACTATATATGTAATTCATTTAAAAGCTTTATATAAAGTGTGAAAGTGTTGTATTTATCTCATATGCCGGAATCTTTGCCTGATTATTCACTTAATAGGAGCTGGAATCTTAAGAACTATAGCAGACTGGACAGTTACATATTTGTGTTGACATCAATTAAATATTAAGGTAAAATTTAGAGTATGAATGTGAAAAATCAAAATGATAGATCTTTCTCAAACCTCTTTAACTTGCACATAGTAAAATGAAATCATTTAACTAGTTATATTTTCCATTTAATGGACATTTAAGCTTACAGACAAAAGATAAGACAATTTTATGTTTAATAGCAAGCATAACGATGATCTGAATTAGGGTCCTTAGGTTTTACATGACTATTGGTTTCTGACTCTAAGGCATTTATTTGCAATTCCTGTAGGTCCTTAGTCAGACCACACCTAGTGAGACCAGAAGTGTATTACACTCTTTAAATCTCTTTGACAACTGACACCTCAAACACCTCATTCGGCCATGGCATCTCTTACCTTCAATGGCTAGCATTGCCCGCAATTCCCGATTCAGCAGCTCATATCGTCGTTCTAAATCATGTTCTTTTTCCCTAGGCAAGTTGCAAAAGTTCATCAATATGCTAATTACTAAATCATTAAACACTTAAAAGAACCTTTAGGTTACATTGATTTTAGGACTCATAACTGACTGTTCTCTTTAACTTTAAGCCACTCAAAACAAATGATACACAAACCTAAAACCTTCCTCAGGTTGAATATTTAATAGTGCTATTATTTTTCTCCTTCAATTTTGAATTGCACAGAAGTATATTCTAATCTGTGGATAAGTAGCCTCAATCTTCAATGCTTCTTGTATTAAGTGCCAGGTATAAGGTTATTTTGTAGAATATTTTTCATAATTCGCAATAAACACTTTTTTTTCTAGAACTCTGTGTGAAAAGAGTACAAGAAACATGAAAGTACCACCAGTGAAAATTTAATATAGAGACAATTAAAAAGGCAAGATTAGTTAAGTTCTGCACTTCTTCATAACTCCTTTATCAAGTTCAGGCATGGCAGAAATGACAAAAATAGAGGTTTTCACTAAAATAAAACATGTAAGCCTGCTTCTTCCCACACTAGGTGGCATAATATAAGAACATTGTTAGTGAGAAAAAGGAACAAGCATTAAGTCCTATGTGAACTAAATGCTAAAGACTGAAAATGCTTACATTTGGTCTAGTCTCCATTTTACTGTAATTCTTGCAATCATAAAAAGGTCACTTCTGTGTAAATTATTAATCTTTTATCCCAAAATTTAGGGTAACATCATTTGTAGAATACAAAGTTAGTTTTGTCCTTATTAAGACTTATTTTAATTTTTAACTGAAAATTTGATGTTAAATAAACTTCAATTTTATTTCTTTTCCCACTAAATATAAACCAAACATCCTTTTTGTGCACAAGTGATTTCTTAAACACAAAAATTGTTTATATTACTTGGCTTTCTATATAATAAATACATTTTTTCAGTATCTAACACTCTAAAATTCTTACTCTTAAGGTAAAAATTGGTTATATACTATTTTTAATTTTATATAAAACATAATCTCTAAGGAAAGAAAAAACATTAAGCCTAATAAGAATGAAACCCCCAAAAAAGACAATGATGGAAAGCCTAAGATTCATCAATGTTGTAGGAAAAACAAGCAAAGTCATAAGTACTTACAGGAGAGAGAGCTGGTTCATTCTCCTTATTAAGGCGTTTTTCTTATTAACTAACATAAACCACTCCTGCATCATAGCTTCTTCTTCTTCTGTGTTCCTTCCTATAATTTAGGAAGAGATATTTCTTATTCTATTGACATTTACAAGCCAAATAATAGTTCAGCACAAGTGTTTTGTTTTTTTTCTTTTTAACACGAAACATATTTTAGCTATCCCAACAGTACAAGTTAAACTGTTTATAACAACATCAGATTAAGGTCCGAGGCCTGAAAAAAGAAATCAATATTTAAAAATTCATAAGCCAATCTCCAAAGCTGCTATTATTCACCTTGTATATTTCAGTCCCCCGAACATATTTACAGATCATACTAAGTACAATACTAATACTAAGTACAGTTAAAAAAAAAAAAAAAGTGTTCCAACTTTTAAATCCTCCCCAGAGGCTGACTTGTTATTATGTTTCAGTGAGGAACTCGTGGTGCTGACAGACATACGGTCGTGATAAAAATAAATAAATTAATTAAAAACCACATTAAAAAATCATTATGAGAATTATAAGACTACCAGTAAGGTCAGAGAAGTCAATAGATTTTGTGAGAGCTTCCACCTGTAACAACTTGCTTTTTTTCTTATTTTCCTCCCCCAAAGCAAACTAAAGGTATACATACATATACCATTCCAGAACTCATCATCCCTAACAGGGTAAACACTTGCAAATTATTTTAAATACATTGTAAATGAACAAGCTACAAAAATACTTAGAGCTATCTGTGAAAAAACATGATGAACATAATAATGTTCCGTAAATGAGAAAACATTTGAGCAGAGAGATGATTTAAAATTTTAGATTATAAATTTACTGATTGTACATTTAAAATTCATTTTCCCTAATATCCATTCCATCATCTGTACCACCCTTCCCCTCAAAAGGCCAGTATGTCAAGGATTATAACATATAGCATATATTTGGTATTGTTCATGCAGAAGTAGGCCACAATCATACTCAAGAAAAATATTAATTCCCCAACCCTCTTCCTTCCTCTCCCTTCAAATTGTATCTAGTCAAATTTACAATTCTTTGACTTTTTTTTTCTGAATTTCGCCCATGATTGGTTTATTGTTTTGCTAGACCATTATTTAATACTTCAGTCCAACTTCTAGATAGATTCATAGGGTTAACTTAAATATCTACTAAAAAATTAAATATGCCAGGCGAAGACTAAATAGCCTAGTCAATTTCCTAAGTTTCATTTTCTTCTTAAGTGAGATATTTTCTTTTAACTTTCAAACACACTACCAGTCCATTAAAAAATATTCAAACAATACAGAGGTATAATTGAGTAAAAAGTCAAGGCCTCTTTCACCACCCCCACCCTCTCCAATTCCCCCATCCACCTCCCTTCTCCAGAAGTACTACTGCAGTTTAGCGTATCTTCTTCCAGACCACATACGTAGCTATGTCTATCACATACAGGTATATACCTTATCTGGACACATACAGGTTTCTTTAACATAAGGACCCTGTGATTTGTTGTTGTCATGCTGTTTGAAGATCTACTTCATTCTTTTTTAATACTTGCATAAATTATGGATGAACCATAATTTATTTACCTGTTTCCACATTAACAGAAATTTGAAAAAATCTTTGGAATGAAAATCTAAAATAAAGAGCTGATCTGTGTGCAAAAGATTAAACATGTATTTCTGAGCATCCCTGTAAAATAGATATCTGTTGTTCATTATTAGGGAAAATAGTGAGAGGATATGTGCTTTCATTAAAGTCTGTTAAACTTTATGGTATGAAGCAGATCTAGGATAGATTCTTTGAGTATGAACAAAGGTCTTTATTGTTTTACAGCATTTTTAATCTCTCTTTTAGGGTAGCTGGTTTTGTATTCACTTTGGACCATGTGATGTCTTGACACTGGTCATGTGATATAGGCTGCGATAGGCACAAATCCCTGGGTAGCAACAAAAGAAGAAAGAGTAAAAAGAAAAAGCTGAGAAAAAGCTTGCAATTTGGAAAAAGGCCAATTGTACCCTGGTGAAGGCCTTTTTGATCACTGAAATGACACATGTGTGCAATATTAATAGGTGCAGTTTTTATGATATTTTGTTTTCTGATTAAAGACTTAATTCTTGCATTCATAACCTAAGTGGTTTCTAAAAATATACACATATTAAAACTTTGTTTTGAGTTTAACCTAACCTGTAATTGAGGCTTTCAGGCAATAAGACTAGAAGCAACTAGCCTATTTTTAAATTAGCATCATTTTCTTCAATGGAAGACTGCTTCCTTGAGAATAACAATATTGATGTGGTACTGTGTTATTTTCAGTTTAACTCATGCCTATGATTTCTACATAAGAACAAAATAACTGTGTTATTTTCAGTTTAACTCATGCCTATGATTTCTACATAAGAATAAAAGATCCACCTCCCCTAACTGTTAGGAAATGAGAAGAGTCTCATGTTTAAAAAGGGAATAAGCCAAACAATAAGAAATATTTAAAGACATATTATTCAGTGCTACATAGATTATATAAATTAACTGAAAAAAACATATTTGAGGTTAAATCAATTCTGTATCACTAACTCCTTATCTGAGATAGTACACAGTGATGGAAATCTATACTTAGCCTAGTAATAAAAAAATTAAATTTTCTTCTAATACATCATTACACTATTGTTTTTAGGGATTTAAAATTTTTTTAATTTAAAAAGCTTTTAAAAGCCAGTAAGTTGAACCATTACAAATTAATCCTGACTTTAATAACTGGTTAAAGACCCCTTTAGCTTTATAAGTAACAAAAAATATTAAAGCCTGTGATCACAGTGAGCTTTTCTCATTTCTCCTCTAACCATTTGTTATTTAATCCAATACTAGTAATCCAATTTGTCCATCAGACTTTTAAAGGGCAGAATGCAACTTCCTCAGCTTAGACACTTTTCAAAGTACAATATATTTTTCAAATGAATGCTGGATGTTTCATTTTTCCCAACTATTCCTAGCTCTAATGCATGAGGAAAAAAAGAACAAGATGAACATTGTTCATACTGATTAAGTAAGAGCTCATTAAAGAGCTGTCAGTGCGGTACTTTGAATATGCATGAAGCATATAATCAGATCTAGTACCGTCACTAGAGGAGAATACGGTAAGTACAAAGGATTGATTTAATTACTTAGAGTGGGCTGTGGTGGTAAAGCAGTCTTGTTAGTGCAAAAAGAAAAAGAGGTTGTATTCTGGCACTGTTAGAAAAAAGGCAGTTTTAGCTTCTGACACAATACATAATCTCAGAATAAAGCACTTTACATTGTAGCTTAAAATGAAGATTGTCATTATTTTATAAAATGGCCATAAATCATTTTATCTTGTTTAAACTCACCTAGTTAACTACCTCTCTTTCAAAATTATCTTTAATTTGTAATCACAACTACAATTTTATCACCTTAGAGTCAATACTGATACTTTAAATTTTTTTCAGTTTCATGAACTGAAAAGTTCAAAACCTATATTATTGAAGCCCATTTTGAAATTTACAAAATGACAAAACACTACAGTTCAGTACACAGTGACTAAAATGTGAAAGCATGGCCGGGTTGTTAAACTATATTTTAAAACAGAGTGCCTCATGTTTATTATAAATATACTACCAATAAAAACATCACCTTAACATTTTAAAGTATTGACTAATATAGTCTCTGGTAATGTTTTTTTCTACTTTGTTTCCTTAAAGAATTCTGTTTTGTTATTTTGCCTTGTGGAATGTAACGTCTTTCTGACATCACAATCTCTTATTGTCAGTTTTATCTTTTAATCAATTATTATAGCTGAGTATGATTTATAAAAACTATTAAATAATGAAGAGTAATGAAAATAGCAGGAAAAGTAATATGTAAATATGACTTCAAATCATTCTTCCTATCACATAGTTAACAAAAACCACTTAACACAAAGCAGCATAATATAGCACTACATGTAGTATAAATACTTAATAAACGTTGGTTGACAACTGCCTTTATATTCCATCTCCTCCCTCCCAAAATGATTTAAAGTTAAGATTTAACTTAAGAATTCATTTCTTCACCCAGGAACATGTATGTAGTTTTCATTTGTTTTTTCCAAAGCAGCATTCTCAATGTAAATTTTAAAATGAACAAGAGGAAAGTGATGTTAAAAACCTGAAATTATGAGTTATATTTTCAAAAACTGTCTACTAGTTAACCTTTCCTAATTAATCTTTCACCATAAGCTTATTGTCTATTTAGAAAGATATATTTTCAGACAGTGCATTCTTTTTTTTTTTTTTGCGGTACGCGGGCCTCTCACTGCTGTGGCCTCTCCCGTTGTGGAGCACAGGCTCCGGACGCGCAGGCCCAGCGGCCATGGCTCACGGGCCCAGGCGCTCCACGGCATGTGGGATCTTCCCGGACTGGGGCAAGAACCCGTGTCCCCTGCATCAGCAGGTGGACTCTCAACCACTGCGCCACCAGGGAAGCCCAGTGCATTATATAAATGCAAAATAAGGAACAATACAATTTTAGCTGAAAAGAAGAGGAATTCAATGGGAAACAAAGAAAACACAGAGATGAAGGCACTGTTGAAACATATACACAAATTCAAGATTTTCTACTATGAAAACATTATATAATGCTGAAATCTTGCCATAGCTCCATAGTGGAGATGGCTGACTAGTGATCACATATGGCCCTTAAAGGACACAACGTAGCAAACACAAACCAAACATAAAAACAACAAAGCTGCCATTACAAATTGTCCCTATGGTATGATTACACGTATATGATAACCTCTGAAAGATTTAGTATATTAAAATAGAGATACACATGAAGGTATCCAACTAACTGATACTGGACAAACATATTTTAATAACACAGGAGGTGAATTCTGGTAGATTTACTTAATGGATGAGAAAGATTAATTTACTGCAGTTACATAGGGTCATGGACACATGAACTCCAAAGCCAACATCATTACAGGACTCCAGTGCTCCAGTTTTAGAAAATATTTTAAGCTTAGGAAATAGAGCTTTATTATGAAAACAAATTTTACTATATGAGCAAACAGTTGATAAATGTTTC